ACTCTAAGCTTTTTATCATATTTCGGTTTTGGATAAATTAGAGTTCCTGGCTTGTTGATTTCCTTAGACCTCTTTTAGAACTTGAAAAATAGATATTTATTTTACTTTTAGAATCAGTTGATTTTGAGCTTTGGTCAGAAAGTTATGGCTTTTTATGTTAATAGGTTATGATGACCTGCTTTATTTTTGTGCCGTGGATCTGGGTTTGCTGGAGCTTAAAGATAAAATCTGGTCCTGTCATTCCTCTTAAATAGAAACTAACAATCCGTATTTGCTTTAGCTGATTAATGTAGGCATTTTCTTGGAACTTTATTGCAAAATAATTTAGAAATCCAGATTTAATGAACCAAAAATATATCTTGACATGAGCTTTTTGGGAAAAAAATATTTTCATAAAAAAATATTTAATATTTAAAAAAAAGTAAATAATTTTTTGTTTAATTAGTTTAAGTATTTGGAGTATTTGAAAAATTTTAAAACTTCTTCAGCATGTTCTAGGCATCAAATAAAGCCCATGAAAAATTTAATTTGAATTATCATGCACGAAAAATTGAATCAAAGAAAATGTCGCAATGGTTTTTGAAAAGTTTAGTTGAAATAATTAGTTTTGAGTTATATCCCATAGCTTTGCATCTGATGTGGAGAAAGGTTTGAGGCAATCAAGAATGTATTTTCAGATGCAGAGTATAGAATGTGGCTACATCATTTATGAAAGAACTTGAAGTATTTATATTGTCATGACGGTCGTAAGCTCCAAAGCTTGGTGTGGCGAGCTGCTAATGCTTACACAGAACTTTAGTATGATTATAAAGTAATCGAAATATTCAGTGTTAGCCCGCAAGGCCATCCATATTTGCTTACTTTGCCATCGATCTCTTATTTCTACTCTTAATAACAATGCAATACTTGGTTTAAATTGGCAAGTCTGATCCTAGTTAGGTTCATCGAAGTGCATGTTAACAATAAAACATAACATAAATAGTAAATGAGTAGGAAAGTCAAAATTACTAATGGTAATCGTTTACCTCAAATGAGTTAAAGTACACTAAATAATACAAAAATGATCTCCATAGGAACAACTTTAGACTTGCACACTAAATCAGCTTCACAGCTATAACTACAAAATTGCATTGCAAGCAGACTGAACTCGTTGAAAGACGATAGCTGTTGAGCGATGGAGAGTTAAATCAGACATACTGGTGAACCGACAAGTGCTATCAAAACATATTTTCCTATCAACATTTTTTTTTCGGTTCTTATTCTATATAATTGAACTGAAATCTTCCTCAGAACTAAACAACATTTTCTATTCTTTCATAATGTTAGAACAACAAAGCTTCATATTGCAGCTGTGATAATAGGACATATAACAAAAAAAAAAATCACATTCCCATAAGGATCAAAATGAATCAAGGCAAATATTCATAGGAAGAGATAAAATTTAAACTCATCTTTATATTTATTTGGGAGTGCTGCTGTCTGCAAATACTCTAGAAGGTAATAATGGCCTGCTTACGTTAGCTTGGAATTGTCATTCTCTAATACTAATTTCAATTTCCAATTATAGGAAATCACTCTAAAAAATTTGAAGAAAATTCTGAGTGTTCAGAAGCATGAACATAAAATTCCATAAATTTCTCAAGGTTAAATGAAATCTATATGCAAGTTAACTAAATTAAAAACAGTGAACTCCACGAAAGAAAATTCCGATTGAACTAGTGCATATTAATTCAAACTAAATCGTTAAGGCTTGATTTGATACTTAGAACGTACTAAAAAAAGTTTAAAAAATTTACAAATATCCCAAGTATTTAAACTAATTAAATCAGAAAGTATTTATATTTTTGAGAATATAATATTTGATACTTTTAGATATAATTCTTTCCCAAAAGCTATTTTGTGATAGATTTTTGAATAAATTTCATTAAATTTGGATTTATTGATAATTCTTAGAAAAAAACTTAATAAGAAAATCTCTAATTTAATCAACCGAACAGATTTGAACGGTTGGTTTCTCTTTAAAAGGAATGGACGACACTATTTTCATCTCTAAACTCTAGTTAATCCAGAACTAGGGAACCAGAATGAAACAAATCATCCTTGACATTTTAGCTTCAAAGGATCATAATTTTCTAACAAAAGATCAAAATAAGGTGATTAAAAAAACTAAATTGATCAAAAATTTGAGCTCTACAAGTTATTTCAAATAAATTAATAATTCGTAGACTCTTAGTAGTTAGTACGCAATACTAGAATATATTATAAATCTTAGGATTTTGATTTCTCATTTTTGTAACTTAAGGGGTTGTATGAAATCAATACCTCACCTTTAGAAAAGCTTATGGTTAAAAACCCTCAAAATTTTCTTGAGGTGCTCTCACTTGTTTTAGAGACTTCATAAACTCACTTCGTAAACTTGAGATTTCTCTTCTCCATTTTCAACCTTTTTAACTAAAAGGTTGAAGAGGAAGAGGAGAGCTCCAAATGATTGTTTGAAGCATAGAGAGATTATTGGAATTGTATTTTAGAGAAAATCTCCACCCTATTGCTTAATCATAATGAACCCAAACTAGAAGGTTTGAGAGGAAGAGGAGAGCTCCAAAGGATTGTTTGCATCATAAAAAACTGTTGGAATTAAATTTTAGAGGAAATGCCCACCCCTTGCTTAATAACAATGAACCCAAACTTAAATTATAGGTTAAAGTATTGTGTTAGCTTAGTTAACTACTGGAGAAATTGGGCTTTAACAACTGGATAATTTTGATATATTTTTCCAATTGATTATAGGTCAATAATAGTCCAATGCATTTGATTGACTTAATTATTTAGATTAGTATTTAATTTAGATTAATTAATCCTAGTTATGCTTAATGGCTATGTTTAGCATAATGTTGATGTTGTGGATTAGTATGAAATCTAAGGCAGCCACATAAGGTGCTTAGGTTGAGTCATTTTGGATAGATCGAGCCTATTACAAAATACAAATTCAAATTCAATATTTGGCTCAAAATGGAAATACAAACTTGCAGATGGTTTCGTTGGTTTTCTAGCTGTATCAAAATCCTATGAGTTCAATGAGAACCAAGTAAATTTTCCCTAAAATAGCGAAGTAGGGTCAAGTTTTTGGGACATTTGTTTTGAGATTCTCGCAAAAACTAAGATTTATGTTATGGAAGACATAGAAGTTATAAATAATTTTTTTAGCTTTCCATTGATATGATAATCATGCAATTTCAACAAAAAATAAGAAAGTACTTCTTAAAAAGCTAGGAGTCAAGATTTATGAATTTGATTTGTCATTTCAAGACAATATGGTTAGACTCATTTGGACAGTCTCAACAATTCCGATGCAATGGTGCAGACTGTTTCATGAAGTTACTTCCCAATAACTTTAACAATATTTTCGACCACCTCATCAATAAGCTTAAATACCTTGAAAAATATCTCAACCACTTTTACGTCGACCTCAAACACCTTAGCTATAATGCTAAACTTCTCAATGATAATGGTGGACATATCGTTGATTATGTTAGCTAGACACCTAATAATCATGTTGGATATCTTGATGATGATTTCAAACATCTTGATGGTGATGTCCAACATCTTGGTGATGCAATTTTTAATATCAATAAATGATCTAAGGAGTTTAATTTGGCTAACGATGGTTCACAATGATCTGCCTAGTCCAACATTTACTTGGGCCAAATTCATCTATCCATTGATGATTAGGATCCTTTAGAAATGGCTTAGGTAATTGATTAGATCATTTGGTTAAAAATCACTAATTGAATCTATAATTTAGAGAATATTGGGCTAGGTTGACTTTTTGTCAAGTCTATGACTTAGTTCATGATTGAAAGATCCAATAATGGTTAATTACAATGCATGTACATGTACATGAATTCGAAATTGAGAGTTGAATGACCAAGGATCTCCTTCTATGGACTTTGCTAAATTCATTGGGATCCTTTAGTCATCCCAGGTCAAGTCCTAATCAACTTAAGCAAGGATTGAACCTATGATTGAGTTAAAGAATTGAAATTGATAAGGATAAATAATTTGAATCATCTTCAGGCTAAATCCATTGAGATCCTATAGTCATCCTAGGGTTTAGTCCTAATCAACTTAGGCTAATGGCTGGAGTAGATTTTCTAGATAAGCTAGGGTTGAGCCTATGATTGGGTTAAAAAGTTGAAATTGATAAGGATAAATAATTTGAGTCATCTCTTGAAATGGGCTAGGCGATTAAGCAAGAGTATTAGAATGAGTGGTGTCAATTCGAGTTGGCTAGTTGGGTTTGGGTATGGGTATGACCTGACCTAAATATGCTTGGCTTGATTTTGACCCCGTTTGTCATACGAGTCAAAATGTTGACAAAACCTGAGTTACCCAAACTTGACCCATTTATTATATAAATGATGCAATTATTTTAGATCAATATGAATGATTAGCCAAAAAATGACCCATTTAACTCGAAAATGGCTTTCTTTAACCCAAACCTAACTCGCTTGACTTGAACTTGAAAGATAATATGAGATCAGTTTTGTGTGAATTATGAATTTTTGGGTCAACACAAATCAAATTTGAAAAATTAATCGGGTCAATATTTTCAACTTGAACCAATCTTGAAAACTAATCGGGTCAACCTAAATTTGGAATTTTTGAGGTGGGTTCTGATTGGGTCGCCGGGTTTAGGTCATTTACCGTTACTAGAATAGTCAAGTTCAAATGACATATATTAAGCATGGCTATCTTAATCTAGCTTTAAGACTAAGTTCAATTAGTGAGACCCAAACATAAAAATGATATTAGATGTTAACATGTTTGATGCCAACTATCCACTTATCTTTTAATCATATCGATTGATAATTGTTTATATCACACTCACTAAAATTGTATATTATATACTTATTTTTTGTGTAAGTAATTCTAAATCATTTATCTTCTAAAATTTTTTTCTGCTGGTCTAATTTTAAAATCATAGTAAATATTCTACGAAATTATTATTATCACTTTCATTGATGATATTAAGTTCTTGTAATGCTTAATGAAAATCTAGAATTGATTTAATGCAACATTCATTTGAAAATAAGTGAAAACACGTTTGAGGTTGTTACCTGAATTAAAAGAAACACACCCATTTCTTTTAGAAAATGAATAGCAATTAAATCCCGCCAATCATGGTTTAATTTTTTCAAATCCACTTGAAAATGAAACATAAAACGAATCAGAACTTGGCCTTCATATTTTATATATGATCGACCAAAAATACTGTCTTTTTAGTTGTATGCAGGGAAAAGTAACCTCTTTGATGGCCTATGTGATTGACGGGAAACCTGGTTTTATTTTTTATTGAAATTATTTAAAACTCTAATAGGAAGCAGCTGTAATTTATAGGAGAATTTCTCTTATAAAACTACACTTATTCCTTCGGGATGCCTACCTCTGATTGCACCTGTAGAAACTCAAACAAATAAAAAATTCTGTAATTTTGGCCGAAGTGATGAAATGGAAGTAGCATTTTTGATTGTTTTACTGATTATTGTGTGTATTTGGTACCTAATATTTATTATATAGGTCAAGTGATTGACACAGTTGTTATGAATCCTCCCTTTGGGACACGGAAGAAAGGATCTGATATGGAATTCCTCTCAGTCGCTTTTAAGGTACTCCTTGCCTCTTACCAATATAGTCCTGAGCTATTCCTACTCGATGATTCTTCAATTGTTATCAGGTTGCCTCTCAAGCTGTATATTCTTTGCACAAGACTAGCACTAGAGAGGTGAGCTGTAACCCTATAAAGCCATTGATGATCTATTGTTGGAAGCTATCTATTTATTTACATTTTGATTACTTTATCTTGCACTTACACTCAACTAAGTTATTTTCATCTGGAGAAAAGAAGCAAATCAAGGAGCATAAAATTCTTGTAAAATTTTGATATGTATCATTTGATCTGAAGTCAGTACAAACCATAACAACTTGAAATGCTGCAGCTAACAGATTGGATGGTGAAGAAAGATTCATGGTTCCAACCTCAAATAATTGGGCTAAGGTTGATATTGTAGCATCCTAGAACACCTGTAGTGGGAAATTTCTTTCGGATTGATTCAATCTAAGGGAACTGGGTTATTGAGTTATTTAGTTTGACACCTTGCCAAGTAGATCAAGGACCTTGTCAAACTGTTTAGGTGTCCGATTGAATGATCCAATAGAGTAATTGATAATGATATTGGGTACTCAAGTATTTGGTAATGAATTGATTGGCCTAATGGAGTGATTGTGATGGACCGGCAGCTGAGCTGATGGACCCCACTAGGGTGGGAATCGAGCAAGAAGAGAGAGGAGGAATTGTTTAGGAAAGTTTTAATTACAATTGGGAAGGAATTAATAAGGGAATGAAATCTAATTTGAATTTCAAATCTGAGAGGGAATTATTTAGGAGAAGGCAGAGGAGTTAATTAATTATGAAGGAGGAATCAAGGGAGAATTGTTTAGGAAAGTTTTAATTACAATTGGGAGAGAATTAATTAGGAAAAGAAATTTAATTTGAATTTCAAATCTGAGAGGGAATTATTTAGGGAAAGTTCAGGGAGTTAATATTAATTATGTAAGGAGGAATCAAGGGGGAATTGTTTAGAAAAGTTTTAATTACAATTGGGAAGGAATTTATTAGGAAAAGAGATCTAATTTGAATTCAAATATGAGAGGGAATTATTTATGGAAATGGGGCTGATTTGGGTGGGAATTAGGGTAGCATATTTAAGGCGAACTATGGGATGATTTTAGATTATGCTTGATTTTGTTGAAATTAGCTTTGCTTAGGTTAAGTGGGCTCTAACCGACGGCTAGGAATTTGGGCGAGCCAGATCTTTCTCTACAATTGAAGATCCAATTATATCTTGTAATTTCTTTCATAGATCTTTCAATAAAAATTGTTCTTGTGTGTTCTTCTTCCTAATTTTGTTATTGTTGTTCTCTGGTTTTTGTTGAAATGGCATCCACTTCCTAACTGACTCAGTAGTCCAAGAGGGGGTGTCTCAATGGATTTGAATCCTTTTTTGGAGTTGAGGTGTAGTTTTGAATGGTTAGATTGGCCATTTGGGATGAATTTACCAAGGGCTTAGTAGAACTTTGCATGGGAGAAGAATTGGTTCAGATTGTTCTCTTTTTCTTTTGACCTTGTAGAAAAATTTCAGTGTGCCCCACTTACTAACCGGTAGAATATAAAACTTCCTCTTGTTGTTAGACAAGCAACCCATCAAGTAAGGCTATGTGGCAAGGTTCTAAAGTTTCTTTCATATTCTTTCTGCAAGTTTGAGTGGCAAAACAACTTGCCAGATCTTTTTTTGCTTGTTCTATTTAAGCTTGATCCTCCCTAGTCCGAGGGATTGCTATTCCAATGAGCTAGTTGTGTGAATGGGAGAGCTTCACAAAAGATTTTCTAGGAGCTGAGCAAGAAGTTCTACAGTGAATTGATGGGCTAGCACGGGACTCTAGATCTTCATTCCTAATGTATATGGAGAGCTTTTAAGCACCTTTAATAGCTTTTTGCTGTTTGAATGATGTGAATCTGTTAGACCGGTCCTCCCTGGACCGGTCCAGCAGGCCCAATCCAGTGGGCCGGTTCGATTTTACCGAAGAAGAGGGCGGGCGGACAGCAGGCGGAAGCCGCAGGAGGGCTAGAGGTGGGGTCCACTTGAAATTCAAGTTGTTTATTGGAGCCAAAATGAAGGGAAGTGAGGGCAATTAGGTCCTTTTGTATCTATTTTGAATTGTATGCATTAAGTAGGGAGTAATGAGGAGGTTTAGGGTTATGTGTTTTTGTCTTGTAGTTTCTCTTGTTCTTCTTGTTGGTTTGGGCTCTAGATCGTATTCTAGAGATTGGGAGAGTGCGATCCTCCTCTCGAATAGAGGATCCTTGTATCTTTGCTATTTTCCTTGCATCTATTAGTAAAATACAAGTCTTTTATCCGCTTTTCCTGCAGTTTTTCTCTGTTTTCTCTCAGTTTTGGGCTGTTTTCCTGCTGTGGACAGCAGTTGTTCTTGAGATTTGTTGCCAAAGTGATTAGGAAATACTTGAAATCAAGTATTTCCTATCAGAATCCTCTTTGATTTTCTCACCATTTTGCATAAGTTCATGATCACCGTGCTTGGATGGTAGTCGGTCATTTGATACATTATATACTTGTTCTTGATATTATTTCCTGTTGACTCCTATGTGTGTGTATGAAATTTAAATATTGACCTAAGCCAATTAAGAAGAAGAGGCAGGCCAAGTGTAGGCCAAGTTCAGGCCTCCGAGGGATAATGTTGTTGCAATGTGATCTTCAACATTGTTGAATTGACAATGTTATGTGATCTCTAAACTTGAGGATGACTTGTTGGTGTTGTTTGATTCTTACTGCTACTATGCCGATGTATGTAATCTCGATTGGGTGCCATTGAAGTAAATAATGTAAACCTTTAAATGCATAACTGATGATTAAACATTATGTGAGGAAAAATGAACAGTTCCTCCAAATACATTGCCAATGAGGGGCACCTGTATATGATTATATGTCACTAGCATGTCCTTATTTGTTTGTAGTAAATGAAAAATTGTTGGATGTTTTTAAAGTTGTTATAGAACATATGCTGTTTATTTCAGAATATCTATCTCAAGAAAAGGAAGAGTTATGTATTTTGTATAGGAGCAATTGTGTCTATTTTGACGAATCTGAGCAATGAAGCATTGATTCTTTGAATTTTGTCCTTTTATCCGTTATATAAATCTCCAAATCATCATTTTTAGAAGTATCATGACATTGTAGTGAAGCTTGTGCCTTTCAATTATTGAATAAAGGTTGTGGATGCAGCACAAGATTTATATTAGGCATGACCATGCTCGCACAGTCTAACTAGGAAGTCTTAAGGGCATTTTCATCTTCATCCTTTTTTGCATGAATTTTGATGAGGTGTGGTTACTCGTTAATATCCATGCCTGGTAAATATCAACGATATTTGGGTATTCTTAAATAGCCCTTGGCCAAGCTTGTAATTATTTCCCTTTGATCAGTTCTCTTGATATTTTGAAGTTGGAGCTCTTATAATTTAGGAAATACTCATCTTCCAAAGCTTGCCACTCATTTTCCTAATTGCTGGTATGGACTTCCTAGAGCTCTTTCTTGCGACTCTTAATCAGTTGAACTAACTTGCCTCCTCTGCTTTGATTTTTACATGACCAACCGCTATACTTGGCTAACTTCTTCCTAGCCAACCTCCTTTGCGCAATCAATATTTTCTCTGTTGGTCTCCCTTACTTGACCAACTCTTGTTACTAAAACACAACTAGCCAATCACTAACATTTATCCAGTGTTTTATTGACATCTAATTGGGCTCCCTCACTAACATATGATTGTATTTGTTGATGTTGATCAATCTCCCTCATTAATGCCAAGCCTTTGTACTTTAAAAACATCCAACTAACCTTCTTTGTTGACATCCATTTATTCTCCTTTGTTGAAATTCAACTGGTCTTCTCCATTGATTAGTAAACAACGCCCCTCCTTGCAGCCTGGTCCACTACTACTGTTGACTCTTTTGTCATAGGACCCATCATAATCCTAGTTGAACACGACCTTTCATCAGTCTATTCTATTTCCGTACAACTTTGTGCTATTATTCCTGTAATGATTTATAGGCGAGGAAATTTCTTATCTCATAACATTTATGTTAGAATTTCATCATTGGGGTTCTCCCTGTGATTTTTCTTTTTTGAGTTTTCTACCTTACAGATTATTATGCCTCTTTTTCTTATTTTGTTGTTTGTTTGACTATTTTAAAGTCGATTGATTCACTCTCATGGTCATGAATATAGGAGTGTATCTAACATTTAATAAAATCAACATTATGCATACAAAAAATTATATTAGGCATTTTGCAGAACTATAGAAACAACCATTTTTTTGCTTTTGAGCCAAAAGTATTCCAAGGGAGGGTTTACCGACATCTCAAAATTTAATATGGCGAGGCATACACTAAAATACCCACTAAAATTGGCACAATAAATTAATTATTTGATGCAAATTATGGCTAGTTAGGTGTGATAATCGTACTGATGATATGTTACAATTTAAATATAGAACTTATTAAATGAAACCTCAGGAGAAAAAATCATTGAAATAGTATATGAATCATATTACGAAGCATAGAACATATTAATAGAAAAAATGAAGTTGGAACTAACTTTAAAGGACATTCATAAATGTAAAGTTATAGTTTCAAATAAAATGCTAAAGTTCTTGGGAGTTTCTAGTGATATTGAGTTGGAGCTACAAGTGATATTGAGTTGTATGGTTATAAAATTTTCAATATAAGATAGAATTTCATATGATAAGATAAGAAATATTTTAATATTGATATTTAAGATTAAATGAGATGTTTAGAAATGTGAGAATTATATGTATATCCAACTTACGGATCTTTTAATAAAGTTATGAGATTGAGTAATAGAATGAGGGACGAGAAAAATTATGCTGTTATCAAAATATTGATCATTTTTTATATTTGGATCTCGAATTAGTAGGAAGGACACTTTTAAACTTTTTCTCAAATCATATGCATTGATCTAAAGATCAAATAGAATAAGCATATATCAAAGGATAAAAAAGGTTTATGGAAATCTCAAAAAAACTTACTGTGGAATAAATTTGAAAAGGTTGTATAATTTTGGGCAACATAGCTTGAATTTTGTTTTTAAGAGAATAATAAGATAATATCTAAAGAGGTTAAAAAGAAAATATTATCTTTAAGCCAACAAGAGAAAATATTAATTAGAACAGATCTTTAGTAGAATTTAATGTTGAGCTTCTTTAATTAAGATCTGATCTTACTATTGCTCCTTGATTCCTTTTTCATCTTACTGATCCATGGTTTATAGAGAAAGGGTGAAGAGAGAAGAGGCTCGGCACCTTACAGAGATGAAGTGATGCTTTAGAGAGATCAAAGAGACGGGGATAATATAATCTGTATTATTTCAAATGAAATGCCATTTCATGAGATTTTACATTGGTTCTATTTCAAGTAGTTGACCAGCACAAATTTAAGTCTATCCATATGATGTTATTGTCAATGTTGTTGGTAATGTGACGGTCTAATGGGATGTAGTTGGTCTATATTGTGTTGTTGATCCATGTATAGTCAACTTAGTTGGAGTTGAATCGAATGGTGTTGCAACGGTAATCTCAGTTGTAATTGACGTAAAAAGATATTTTTTGTAGCCTACCCATTTGTCAATTGGCCTTGCATCACTGGTTAGTAGGGTTTTGTCAATCCAAGTTGGAGTTAATGTTGTACTCTTCTTGCTTTTATTTTTTTCTAGTCAACTTGATTGTGTGGTTGAGCACGTCGTGGTATGTTGCCACCATTCTAGTTTAGTACATTTTAAATGCCTTGATGCTCTATACAAAGAAATGCATACAACTCACAAAGAAGACTGAAATGAAGAGAAACTTGGGCTTACGCTTTTTGATTGTTTAGGACATTGCTTCTCTCTTTGAAAGATATAACATCATAATTTTTTTCTCTTCGCTTTTGATTGTATCCTCTCACATCATGCTTAGTTTCAACTATTGTAGTTTCTTGTTGGCTCTTCTTTTTTTCCTCCTTATTATGCTTGTTGTCTTTATTACTTTTTGTGGATAACACAAAACCTTTGGATCCATCTTGATATTGAGCCGTTCATTAAGATTAACAAGCACTTGCTATTTTCTCAAGTTATCATCTGAATTACAACTACCTTCCCCCACAAGCAAGAAATAGTGCTGGGATAATCATTTTATCAAGAATTGAGAGGAAGGCTGTTAGTAATCCTTTTCATTAGAATGCTAGTGATTCGAACTTAATGATCTGTTGGATTAATTCTTTTTTAGGGCCAAGATTAAGGTATTATAAAGGTTTATGAAAACCCCCTAATTAAAATTGCAGCAGAATTAATTTAGAAAGGGATAAAGAATACTACCAACCTTGATTAGGTCTAGGTTTTGTAGGAATAATGAGATATTCTGTAAATTGATTATAAAGAAAAACTAATCTAAAATCTAGAGAGAGTTAGAGAAAGTGAATTATTTAATAGGCCGGATCTTAAATAGAACCAGAATATGCTGAAAGTTTGATCTTCCAATGGCAATGGCTCTTGTTCATTTTTTATCTCTTTTTTATTATGCTTGGTTCCATGATTTCTAGAGCGATAGGGAGAGAGAAGCTCCTGTCCAGTCTGTTGAGAGAGAGAGAGAGAGAGAGAATCTTTATTGATTTTTTATTTTTAGATAAAAGAGATAGCTGAAAACTCACATGTTTCTACATATAGTATCCATGTTCTGGAAGCGCTGTTTTTTTTTTCTTCATTACCAAGCTATATGTGGTTGAGCTTCATAATTTCCATTCCTTGCTATTAAGAGATATATTCGTAGTTACTCTGATTTAATTTAGTTTAATATATATATATATATATATATATTCATAATTTCTCTATTTGCTTTAACCTCATAATTGTTTTGTATTTTGGTTTTGTTGATGTAGCATATCAAGCGAGTAGCATTGCGAGATTTTAGTGCCAACAGTGCTGAGGTCTTATGCGAGGTATATTAACAAATTTGCATGTTGAATTACATTAAATTTCTCTTTCACTGAGCTAATTGAGTGGATTGTGCTACCGTTTGTTATTTTGAATTACATTAAACGGGGAATATCGGAGTTTCTTTGGCTGCTGGGACAAATGAAATGAAATAGGCAACTTAAGACTTTGTTTGGGACGGCTTTTTTACTGCTTATTGAAGCAGTATAAAAATTTAAAATTTTGTACTAGAAAACTGCTTCAAGAAACAATAAAAAAGTCGTCCCAAATGAAGCCTAAATTTACATTTTGACTGGTTTCAAGTTCAGGATGAAGTCACAATCTACCATTCCTTTCTCCTGACTAGCAGGGTATCCAAATAGAGCTCTAATGTTTGTTATGTTTAGGATTGAATATTGATTAGTGAAAACTCATGGACATGTTATGTGTTTTCAGTTAATATTTTCTTTCTGTTTCTTGATATTTGTAGCTTAGGTTTGATGTCCCTCAGCTATACAAGTTTCACAAGAAGAAAGAAGTTGACATAGCAGTTGATCTTTGGCGGTTTGTTCCTTGACTCAATCAGGTTCGGCTTTGTTTTCTCATACAACTATTTGTAGAAATCTTGGTTTGTTGAGGGAGAGCAGAGTTCGGCATTTCCAATCTTATTAACATATAGAGCATCTTTACTGTAGTATTTGTGGTTGGTTTTATGAGTTCATTTATTTCCATTTAGGGCTTCTCTTCAAACTTATCTAATGATTTTATAAGTAATTAGAGAAGAACGGCTCGATAGGTATTGTTGTACTGATTATTATTTTTCTTTTGTATTTTATAAAATAAAATAATTATATTCACTCATCATAAAAGTATGTGTTGCTTTATAACTTAGGATGCTGTTGAAGTCATAGAGAAGTATTTATAAGATGTGTTTTTTAACTATGTTTTTCATAGAAATTTAGTTAAACATGGTAAATTAGGACAAAAATACGAACTAAGTCTGATACTTATTGGCCTTTTTATGTACTATTAACTATGTTTAGAATTATTTAAAGATAATTTGGGATCTCTTTTTATTTTATTTTATTTATTTCTTATTGACATGAAATAAAATATGTTTGATCTTACAAATATGTTAATTTTGTTTTTATTGAATATTGATTAAGTTGATTTATGCGTTGTTGATGGCGGCCGATGTGGATTGTTATTTTTAAAAATATTGAATATAGCTCAAAGTTGTTTTGAGTGTTTTTAAAAACAGTTTGATTTATTTTTATAAATAAACAATAAAAATAAGATTAACAATATACTAATAAATATATTTTTTAATTATAAAAATAAAAAAAAATAAAGTATAAATGTAATCTATACTTGTCAAAGGTGAATGACGCACCACGGTGTAGAGTTCCATCTGGAGCCATGGTATATAATCCACGGCGCGGTGCAGCGCGAGCCATTTTTAACTTGTCACAAAATAAAAAATAATTAAAATAAAATAGGATAATAAGCATATAAAATAAACTTAAATATTACTATATACTTAGGCATTTTAATGAAGCTCATGTTTTGAGATTCTTCAAATTTGTTTGGTATATTATGAATATATTATTAGGATTGATGGAGGAATTTTGATAACTTTGCATGTAAAGTATATTGAGACGATCAAGCCTCTGTTTAACTAAAGTATATATAAGTTGCTACTAATAAAAGTTATAAAATTGAAAAATACATCTGTGCTATAGATATTTTCCTTCATTCTTAGTCTCAGATTTTGTTTCTTCTACTTAGCATTTTTCCTAAGCTTATTATCTGCTTGTAGTAGGTGCATTTTCCCTAAGCTTATAATCTAAATATAAAAAAAAATGTAAGTTGATCAAAATTGATCGATCAAAGAAAGAAGGAGATTGCTACCTAATGGTGAACCTTGACTTCAGAGGAATCATATGAGTTGTTTATCGAAGGAGACGACAAAGCACACATGATCACTTAATTTCATAGGAAACATATGGATGAAGATGAGGATTATCACCTGGATGAATAAGGAGCGGCAGAAGTAAGGAATACGAGGGACAAACAATAATCGGAATCACGTGAACAAAGGTAGAATCTTGTGCAGAATCGTGAAATCGGGTGCATGAGGCTTTGGGCGTTTGTGTGGGCTTCGGGGCTTATCGACTGCGTGAGGGTTCGTTTGGATGCAGTTAGTAAATCAATAACTAATAACCTAAAATTCATCATTATATTATTTTGAAATTTAAATTATATAATTATTTAAGAATATTATTACATTAGGAAAATCACAAAATAAAATTGCGCACGCCTTGTGCCATACGCTCACATAGTGCAAATGGTGCGCACCAACTTGATCCTGTGTTGAGGCGCACTGTGCGTCATGATGCACGCCATTCTGTCCATTGACAAGTATGATGGAATCCAAAAAGAATTCTAGTTGCTTGTAGATAGAAAATATATTTCAAAGTGCTAGAATTTATTTTGACTTATATGAGAAAATAATTACATGTTTTAGAAGATTTTGAAAAAAATAGTTTGAAATTAATATCTAATAATGACATACTATCAAATAATAGATTCTAGAAAATTAATTTTTTGGAAACATATTTTATCTTAAAACAACTAAATTGCCCCTTTCTAGAAATGGTTGAGGATGAAAACTAAACTTTTGTTTTTTAAACTTTGTATTTTCTTTTTCTTTTTTTTTGTGAGTTTTTGCAAAATATGTTTTTAATATAATTGCACTTTTAGGGTTATAATTGAGTTGAGTTGAGCACTGTGGGCTCCAAAAATTCGATCCCGGCCTCCGCTCGCTATGTTTGCTTTTTTGTTTCGGGGGAGGGGGGGGGGGGAGTTTTAACGAATTAAGTTCCAGGATAAATTTTGGAAGGTAAATGGGTTTGTAGATAAGACACTACCCAGAGATTTCACCCTCATTTTGCAAGGACTTTATGATATGAGTTCTGGTTTCCTATAGGCGCAAGCCCCTATAGTTAATTACCCCTCCCGGTAACAAGATAGAACTTTCGATTAAGGCTAGTCGTCAATCATATACTTAGATGTACGTGCATCTGGCATATAGTAGCAGCATGAGTTTGGAAATTTGAAATTTGAAATTTGAAGGGTTTGAATGTTTGGAAATTTGGGCTAAAATATTTGGGAAGTTTGATATTTAAAATTAGAAATTTCACCATATTGCACTTAAAGCGGATGATGGAGGAATAGATGATAGACCCGATCAAGATCCCATGGTTCCGTCATCCCGGGCCATTGTGGTCTTTGGTCTACTTAGTCAGAGGAGGTAATCGACCCAACCTGACAGAAGGATCCTTGTCGACAGCCATGGGTTGCTTCGTCCAAGGGGACCTTGTAGACCTAGGATGAATATTTGTTTAAGGGGACAAATTTGAATCTACCTTAGCTAACAGAGGGCTTTGTGCCCTTTAAATCATATCCTATTGATTCATATCTCAATGATTTGATGCCACTAAAGAACGTATTGGCTCTGGCCATAACCGGTATTTTGTGGTGATATTTGGCGGCAAAATCATTCGATTCAGAGGGCCTCAGGTCATAACCGTTTATCCTGCAATACCATTTGGTGGCAAAACCACCGGTTAGAGGACACGTACCACATCCTTATTGGCAGGAGACTATTTAAGAATGGTTCCTAGTGATATTTTTGACTAGCATTTGCTCTTTGTGAGCTGAAGTAAATTTTAATTTGTCCACTCAAGCAAACTGTTGTGGAGGGTGGATGGATTTTGCTTTAAGTGTTTGATAGTTTGATTTTAATTTTAAAACATTTGAAGTTTTGAGATTTTGGGAGATCCTGTGGAGTTTTTAGATTTTATGGGCTGAAGATATTTGTGAACCCCTCAGTTAAGATCTTCGCTCAACACGACCATCATTGGGGTGACTTTAAAGTCATTTTCATTTGAAAATATTTCCATTTTTTGGATTAATCTTATCAACTCTGTTGAGTTGTCAACAGAGGATCGGGTTTCTCGGGCTTCATGCCTTTGCTTACGAATTTTTTTGTTAAAGGACTTGAAGGCCTAATATGAATGTATAAAATAAATATTCCGGTCCACTTCGTGATCGCATATTTATCCGATGGTTCGAACCATGTTTAGTCCTATTTGTCTACTTAGGAGGATGGGGTTTCGTAGGCTTTGAGCTTTTGTTAGTGAATTCTCTTGATTATAGGCCTTGAAGGCCTAATATGAATGTATTAAAACAAAGATATCCGTCGCCACAATCGTATATTTATTTGATGGTTCGAATCCTATCGACTCTTATTGATCCGCATAGAAGGATCAGGTTCGAACTTGAATTCACTTATTGCCCCGCGAAGCATACATAGACGTCACATGTGTACCAATAACACGCTCGCCGGGGCTCATGCGGGTGTTTGAGAATTTCATTGATTGGACATACCCCTTTGTGTACCTATGTGTATATAAACTATGGTGCATGTACAGGGGTACTATGAAATATTTTAGTTGTGCAGATAATTGCCATTTGAATGCACAAAATATTTCATTTGAGATCTTATACACGCATTCTGTTCGCTAATATGAGTGTTGCGAATCCGGTGGTGGTATTATCTGGATGTTATGAGGCATTTCATCATCTTGATGTTGACTCCCCTTTTCTCATTCATCGGAGAGGTTCTTCTGGACTTTGAAATCAATGACCACTGCCTTGAAAAGAACTCCTTTCAGGGTCTTTAGTATAGTAGACTTTTTTACTTCTGATATTTGTGGACACTAGAACTATTTTCCTCTTAAGTATAGGACTAAGAAGAAACTTTGGAATACCAGGAAGTTTAGTTCTAATTTGTTCAAGCATCCCTTCTCTTCTGCCAGTGAGTGTCCTTCTTCGTACATCGAGTTATCTTCATACCCGATATACTCACACATCTCAATCACCGCTGTTGTAGGTGATATTTGTACTTATGTCCACAATGGTTCGTTTTGCTTATGATATACCCACTATTGTTATCCACAAGCGGCTCATGTGTATTTACGGAGAATCGCTGTATTCACTACGACTTTGTTTGCATAATACCTAAGAAAAAAAAAAACAACTGAAAATAAATATACGCATACCTCTGCTCCGCCGATCTTGCAAATACAGCCGAAATCCTGCTCAAATCTTGTTGAAATACTGTACATGCGGTGCCGTTTGCATCGCTTCCCGGAAACTCTGCCCAAATCGCATGCCAACTAGACGCCTTTCACGACGTTAAATACCGAAGGAGATGAAGGCTTCGGCTGCTGGTTCCGCTCTCGCTCTTCCTCTGCTCGTTCCCCTTCCCCCCTTGCCGTGTCTATCCGACCTCCGACAGAGAGAAGCCGAGAGAAAGAGAGAGAGAGAGATAGAGAGCTTTGCCTACGTCATCCTCCCTAAGCTGAGTTCTCTCCATCCTCTGCCCTAGCCTTGCCCGATCCATTCAATCTAGAGAAAAAGCAAGAGAGGGAGAGATAGATCCCTACCCGAAGCCCTTCTCCCATTGCCGAACTCCTCTCCACCTCTCTCCGACGTTCCCTTCCTGTTTTGATCGGAGTC